ATTTCACGATAACTGCAGTTTCTGCCAATTTTTAGGACTTTCACGAGTACGAGGGAAATCACATTTTCATAAATAAGCAAATATTGACAAAATGGCGCGCAAGAAAAAATTTGTCGTCAAAACATCACTTTTTCATGCCTATTAGTTCAGACTTTTACCATGGCGAGGCGCTATACACACACACAAGCATGAACCCATGTCTGTGCGCTCCCTTTCTATCCGAAAATGAGCACACGGACATGAGCTTGCAATTGTGTGTATAACCAGTAGCGTACTACCAGTTTTGCTAGCCACCGACTGATTCGGTGTCGCTACCCATCAACACGGAGTTCTTGGCTGAGTATTCAGGAGCCTTAATTTCAAAAGAATTCTTATGTACTCCAAAATCTTGAATCAAATATAGTATTCTAGGTGAGAGATCAAAATAACAGTTCTTTAAATGAAACAATCATGAATTATAAGGCTATAAACTATATTCTTTATTGTAAGATTAAAATAATTTTTCGCACTGTTAACTGCGTTCGACTCTTTATAGCCTTATAATTCATGATTGTTTCATTTGTTTTTAACAAAAAGAGTCTATAACTAGTTTTTATATTAATTATTAAGATTTTTTTAACAGTTCTTTATATCTCAAAAATGAATCAGAAAATATCAGTATTAATTTCAAAAGAAATCTTATTAAATTGTCTTACCATATTGTCTATTTTAATACATTTTATTATTGGAAGATAATGAAATGGTAAAAAACCTTGGCATACATAATGAGGTATTCAATTGATTCTTTGTACTTTGTTGATAGGAAAAATCTGAAAAGAAAAAAGGTATGGATTTAAAAGATTCTTCCCTTTTCTTTTTAGGACTTTCCCTTCAATAAATCTGAAGATAAAATACAACACAAAGAATCAATTCTTTTATAATAATAAAGATAAAACTTATTTGACACAGTTACTCAAAACATAAAATTATTTGGTTTTAGTATTGAAATCTTCAAAACTTTAAATAATTATCTAATAATAAAATATATTAACATGGAAAGTAACTGATATATTATTGAAGGTGCCAGTTCAAAGTGAACATTCATAAAATGTATATTCTTTTGTTGCATATATACGTAGATAATAATGATTTAACAACACATGCACACTAGATGTTTATAATAATAATATTAAATTATTATTATTTCGTATATATGCAACAAAAGAATATACACTTTATGCATGTTTACTTTGAACTGGCACCTTCAATAGTATATGAGTCATTTTTCATGGTAATAATGTATC